CCCTATCCATCATTTCAAAAAGTGATTGCCCCCCCCTTGTTAACACATACTAGAACTGTGGTTGTCCACACCTGAGTTCAATTTCTCTAGCCACACCCAGGCCTGACTATTGCCACACCTGTTCACAATCAAGACATCACTTAAATAGGAGCTGCTTGACACGGTCAGATCCTTAAAAGCTACACGCCGTGCCGACATCCAAACAAATTCAGGAACAATTGAACCACAGTGGGAGCCGTTATCCACAAATGGCAAAGACAACAGTGGTGAACCTTCCCAGGAGTGGCCGGACGCCCAAAATTACCCCGAGAGCGCAGCGACGACTCGTCCCAGAGGACGCAAAAGACCCCGCGACAACGTCCAAACAACTGCAGGCCTCGGTTAAGGTCTGTGTTCGTGCCTCCGCCATCGGGAAAAGACTGGGCCAAAAATGGCCTGTGCGGCAGAGTTCCAAGGAGAAAACCACTGCTGAGCAAAAAGAACATCAAAGCTCACCTCAATTTCTCCAAAACGCATCTTGATGATCCACAAGACTTTTGGGACAACATTCTGTGGACGCATGAGACAAAAGTGGAGCTCTTTGGAAGGTGTGTGTCCCAGTATATCTGGCGTAGAAGGAACACTGCATTTCAGAAAAAGAACATTAGACCAACAGTAAAATGTGGTGGTGGTGGTGTGATGGTCTGGGGCTGTTTTGCTGCTTCGGGACCTGGAAGACTTGCTGAATGAATTCTGCTGCTCGTTGCACGTTATCGCACACGCTTGGTTGCAGTTGTTGCTGCTAAGGGTGGCCCAACCAGTTAAGTTTAGGGGGTAATCTCTTTTTTTACACAGGGCCATGATGGTTTGGATTTTTCTTCACCTTTAAGAATAAAAACCTTCATTTACCAATTGCTTTTTGTGTTTACTTGTGTTGTCCTTGACTATTGTTTAAATGGGTTTGATGTTCCAAAACACTCAAGTGTGACAAACATGGAAAGGAAATAAGGAAGGGGGCAAACACTTTTTCACACCACTGTACATACAGTACACACCAAAAGTTTACTTGCATACATACATACATACATACATACATACATACATGCATACCAGTGGCGGCGGCTGGTGAAAAAAAAATCTTGGTGGGGCTGATGTGCCAATAGATTTCCCTGCCTAACCCAGTACGTGCATTCAAGTTAAGTCGGGAAATTACTACAATTCCACAATAAGCATTTAATTCCCTTATCAGCAGTTTACATACATACAGTTAACCATTTAAAGCTATATTAGGTCTTATTTTGTAAAGGAACAGTATGAAATGCAACGCTTAATTTCACTATTAGTCACCAAACACACAAAGTAGGCAAACAGGTGGTTAGCTTAACACGGTTAGCTTGACACAGTTTTCCATTTGAACTTGTGATATTTCACCTTTCTTAATGGTTCAGAGAGGTGTTCTTAGTCTGTCTGTCCACACTGTGTCCACATCAAATTGCTCCGGTCACTTTTAAAAAGGATGCAGGGAAAACATAAAAGTGCATTGGCCGTCCCACAGGCTGTCAGGAGTTACGCTGGAACCAGCTCCTGCTAAAAGGCCGGCTGTAGGACTTGGCTTTTTCATTGGTTCGCTGCGTTACATTTATTTGGGGCTGTCAGGTCCCAGCTCCTTGACATGGATTTTTTCCACCATTGTCCTCACGAAAGGGGAACTCAGTACAGATCTCACTGAGTTGTGTGTAAGCTGTTCTTCAACTGTCGTCATCTCTACATCACAGCCTGACTGACCACTAGCTAAACGTCTACAGTAGCAGGGGCACCAGTTCCAGGCGCCCCAAAGCCATTCATTTCGCCAATGCTGATTGGCCCAATATTTATCAATCTTCCCTAGCAACTTTATTCAATTGTTTATTTCACTGCACTTCAGGGGCGCTTGGGGTTAGCGCCCCTGAAGAGAAACCATACGTTCTGTGGGTGGAAATGCACTGTTGAATAAGAGTCAATTGGTAGAAGACTTGTTTTAATAATTCATATTACATGTAGCCACATACTATTAAGTAAAACTGACATTGATAATACTTAAAAATAAATATATATATAATATAACTTCTCCTCTCCACATCTAGGTGGGGGAGCGCCCCCTATGGGCCAGCCGCCACTCATACATACATACATACATACATACATACATACATAAAGTACAGACCAAAAGTTTACATACATACATACATACATACATACATACATACATACATACATACATGCATACATGCATACATACGTTCACATTTTCTCACAACAATTTGTCTCGAGCCCCTCCAGGATTCGACAGTCTTTAACATTAAACAGGACATTTCCGCTAGAAACGCCTTAAATAGGACAAGTTTTTCGCTCTTCTTACTGCACATCACGGCAGAAAGGGAAAAATCAATAAACAAATAATAAAGCAAACATGGTGGCAAACATGGGGTAAACGGCACATTGGACTAACCTGAGGACTTTTACCTTTTCAACAGAGTAAAAGACCTCAACTCCCTTTTTCCGGACACGAACAAAAAAAACAGATTGCCGCAAATGTTTGCCTTTCTTCCGGGATCCCTAAAATCTGCTCATTTCAATTCAATTCAATTTTATTTATATAGCGCCACATCACAACAACAGTTGTCTCACAGCGCTTTCCAAACTGAATTTATTTAATCATTTGGGTTGTTAAATACAGCGGAATATGAGGTTTTGCGCTCTTACCTGAGTTAAGCGTTGGGTCCCGTCTGCGATCTGTCAAACAAACTTTGGAAGACAACAAACCGCTCAGCCCGTCCTGTTGTGCTGTTCCACAGGCTCCTCCTCCAGGGAACATCAGCCGCATAACGCATTCCGACGCACTTCATCTGCGCACGCTTTCCAAAAGATGTATCCAAATCTTGAAAAAGAGACACAGTAGCTAATAATAACAAAAAAATAAACGACAGATCACATGCAAACGCAGTGTGCCGACTGGAGTTGCGTCCATAGTTTTTTAGACAGACACTTATCTTGACGGTGATTTAGAAACCTTGAAACAGGAAATACGCGATATTAAAATAACACCTTAGAATAGCTAATCTCACCCCACAGGTGATCTGGTTTGGTTTTTAGTGTTTTTTTTAAATGTATTGTTACTTGAGCGCCTCAAATCAAATAGAAAAACGTCACACCATTTACCAGAAGATGGCAGCAGTATCGTTTCCTGGTCAGCAGCTGACGCTCTCGCTCAGTCCTGAAGAATCCCTTTTGCCTTACTGATTTGAAACATATGTATATGTGCAAAACACAGACCTAAAACAAACATATATGCTGACTTTAGAACTGGATGCTATGGAGTGAAAAACAAATAAACAAAGATTAGAATAATTTGACAGGCGTGAATAATTTATGTAAATACCAACAATCTACCAGTCAACAATGTGGCATGTCCTGTCATAATGTTAGAAAATGTTGAGAGAAAGTGAACTACAATAAAAGAAATACTGCAATACAGTTTGCCATTTACACACAGTTGATAATGCAGGATTAGTCCCCTGATCATTTGTATTGTTTGACTTCACAAAATCAGCAAACATTAAACCCAAATTAACTTTATTACTGTGGCAGACGGTAAAATCACTTCCCACACGCTTAAACATACAAATGCCAGTATGCCAGACTTCCTCGTAGTACTTTCCTGAGAACATTTACAAGTGGAGGTTAATGACCAGCCGTTCGCTGCCACCAACAAATGCTTATTTGTTTCATCTGCAACCAGGTTGTGCTTTCTCTGACACAAGGGAGAATTTGGATTTAAACATGGAAAAAAAGCCTTCTGTGTTTGCTGTCGCTTTAAACAAAATCACAGACACATTGTTTAAATAGTATTGCAGACGCTACACTTTCAACAGGAACATTTAAAGTGCATCTGGATATTTTCACATATTGGATTAGAATTTATGCTATCTGCAACTAAAAAAAACAGAAACCCCCCCCCCCCCCCCCGGACTAATACAAAAGCACAAATACAAATTTCACTACTATTGAGGTTGGATCCATTATTCTGCACACCATATTTTTTTCTGCACTTCCAAGCCAACGCAAACTCACAAGAATAGAATTGGCTTTTGTGACATGAGTGTGACCGGGAACCGCAGAGGTCAAAAACCTCTCGTCCGTTGTGCGCTAAAACCCTGGGCTCCTACGGCTGTGGCTTTAAAGGCAGCGACCTTTGGCCAACACCTCTGGGGGAAAATTTTTGTGTCAGAGTGCCAACTGTCCCAAACAGTACAGAACCAGCTCAATAAATCCAGTGCGGTCAACTCACCGACGTTTACCAGCAGCTGACATCTATTCAGCAGCTTATCGAATTAAAGCCAAACTCAAGTCTGCTAAATGAATCAGTTACCAGTAGTTTACAGCTAACTGGTTCTTTTCACTTGATTTTCCTGTTTGAACGGATTGATGTGCAAATGTTGCACTTGAAACGGGCGTTTACGTGACAAATTATGATCAAAATTAACCTGAAAGCTGATGATTATTAGAAAAAGAAACTTCACTCTTTTTCTAAAGTGTCTGTCACATTTCAAGATGACTATTTTTCTAAGGCCATTTGATTTTTTTTTCATTTGGCAGATCCGTTGGAACATTTGAAACGTCCTTCATTCCAACCCTTTGGTGTTAACATTAGATTTTTCATAACCCGATGAAAAGCGTAGTCGTGATAGCATCAAACTAATGACATAGCGTTCATTCGGAGTTAGCGCTTGTGAGAATGCCACAGTCCGTCCAGCTTCCGCAGGTATAATATTTGCTCCGGTGAGGTCGCTGGCCTTTCCTGCAGCACAGACCGACAGGACGCTTACCTTCAAACAAAGCAAATTTGGCCTCCAGTTCCAACCGAGCCCAAAACAGTCAATAGCGGCACGTGATTCGCTGCCAATACGCCGGCCCATGACCCTAGTAAGAGCTGCCACAACTCTGGCCACATCTTCCAGGAGCGGCCTGTCGGGATACTCACCTCTTGGTTTGACCTCGGCTGTACTCGTGAGAAGTTTCAGTTGGTGGAAGACAGCCGACTGGAGAGTTTGTCCTTTGTGCCGGTAACTGAAGTTGGGATTACAGTTTTGGAACATCACAGCGAGATTTTCCACTTGCCTTCTCCTAGATGACTCAAAAATGCCGACAGGGTCAGTAAGACTGCAAAGTATCAAGAAGCTGGGGCAGGAAAACCAGAGCTATGAGGTCACAGGCGAAGGTAAAGCACCATCTCCGCTTTCCCGTGTCAATGTTGGAAATAATGCTGGTCAGTGTTTAGACTTTTGACCAAAATGCCTATTCTTCTGTTGTGTTGCAGAGGCAGCTGGCTCCTATATGTAAGTCTAGCATTTAATTTAATGCTTCGTGTCAGGGATTGATGATCTGACAGAAGCGGTTCATGTTTTGGACAATGCTTCTCTAATTACTGCTTCGTTTGTAAGTCGTCCGAAAAGAGTGAGGGAGTCAGCCACTGCGACGCCTTAGGTTCAGTGTATGACTTTATCCTCAGCAGGTTTCACAGTAAGGCAGGAACAAAACCACCCAACCTCTGTACTGTTTTTTCTTAGGAAACATATAATAATTCAACAAGAATCAAATCACACGCAGAAGCCTTACGGCGTACGTAGCAATAATTACGAGAAGTAGCCGCAAATGCTGCTTATGTGTTTAACTTAATCTGTTGATGATCGGTAATAAAACCCGTAATCTAATTTGGGATAAAAATGTAAAGCAACACATTTGGTAGGGCTTGAAAACACTTGAAGATGCTCCAAATCTTCCCAGGAGCCAACTTCACCATTGAGTTCAGACCAAGGTCAGATGACACAGCTTTAGAGAAATTACTAAATAACCCCAAATAAAACCCACTCACATACCCGATTCTGTAGACTTCTGGGAGCACGAACCTGAGATATCTGGGGAAGAAAAAGAAACAAAGGGGAGAATCGAGATTTTACAGTTTGTGGGATCATTTCAGAGCTGTGCTGTGAGGAATATGTGTACACTTCAAGGAGTAGAAGCTGTTCATTGAACTGAAGGACGCAGACATTATGACTTAATGTGATTACTTCAGACTTAATTACAGTTGCCGCGAAGGCTCGACGTCCTGTTAATAATCCTGGCAATAATTGGTGTCCGTAAAGGTCCGGCCATCGAGCACCCACTAATTGCATCAACTAAAATGACTCCCTTGTTAATCATGAGCAGAGGGGCTTTTTCCACACATGCTGCATTCAATTTTCACGAGCAATGTGCTCTTCTATTGTCTTTTCTCCCACGCAGGAGCATGACTAATTCCAAGGAGAAGTCAAAGTGAGTCGGGAAATTGGGGTGGATTTCTTGAAATGACCGTCACCTTTCACCTCAAGATGAACTAATCTATCAATCTACCTTCATCTGCTTTCAAACAGAGCTCAGGAGAAGGCAGAGCAACCCGCTATACGAGTGGGCTTCTTCCAGCTGGTAAAAGTTGCCCCGTTGCTGCCCCTTTGCTGTTCTCCAGGAGAGGCTCTCGCCCCCCCGGTACCCCCAACCTGACGCCAGTTGTGTTTGTGTGTGTGTCCGCGTCCAGTTCCGCTTCGCCACCTGTAAGGACGTGCTGATGATGGTGGTGGGCGCCCTGTGCGCCGTGCTGCACGGCTCGGCCCAGCCCCTCATGCTGCTGGTGTTCGGCCTGCTCACCGACACCTTCATCGAGTACGACATCGAGCTCAACCAGCTGAGCGACGACAGGAAGGAGTGCGTCAACAACACCATCCAGTGGAAGAGGAACTACACTGCAGCTTTCAACGAGTCGGGCGCTTTCATCTTCAGCAACTCCACGCTGGAGATGTTCGGGCCTCTGAAGAACATGTCCTGCGGGTGAGTGGCTTCTGAGAAAGGAAATAAAGATGTGCTTTAAAAAGTGTTTTTGCGTGTCTTTACATCACTGCATGTGTGTGCTGTTTTTTGTTTTTAAAGGATTCTTGACATTGAACACGAAATGACCCTGTTTGCCTTCTACTACGTTGGAATTGGAGCGGCTGTATTTATACTAGGATACTTTCAGGTAACAGATCTTAATCCAGAGAGAGGTTCTACATAAATAGATTAGTAACAGATTAATAACAAACAGAAACAATTTCATGCATTATACCTAATCTGGAAAGTGCCATGTGGAAACTTTGGCGCCACGAGGGTGGTTTTGGGGGAATGATCACACACCCAAAGGAGCACCGTCGCGAAGGGATTTGTGTGTCTGACTTTCTTTCCATAAAATCAATGAGTGACTGTGTGGTTTAAAAAGGGCACTGTACAGTTGTACAGTTCACAGATCCGCTTAGCTTAATATGCCACACTCCGGAGGTATAATATTGAATCAGAGAGAGAAATATCAAGAAAATATTCACATATTAGTTCCAGTACATAGGCCCCACCTGTGAAGTCCTCTATGCCTCCAAGAAAATGTACACAATAACTCAGCTATGGAGTCCAATGCGATATCGCCCGACCCAATGAACGCCGTCCGTTTTCTCCCACCGTCAGATCTCTCTGTGGGTGACGTCCGCCGCCAAGCAGATTCAGCTCATCAGGAAGATGTATTTCAGCAAAGTCATGAGGATGGAGATCGGCTGGTTCGACTGCACCTCTGTGGGGGAGCTCAACACCCGCATGTCAGAGTGAGTGGGGAGAGCCTTCACCGTGTTTCAGGCTGGCTGACCCCGCCGGGGCCCGGCTGTCTGTGTCACAGTGGGTTCCTCTCTCCTGCAGTGATATAAACAAGATAAACGACGCCATTGCAGACCAGGTGGCCATCTTTGTGCAGCGCTTCACCACCTTTGTGTGCGGTTTCTCCATCGGGTTTGTGAAAGGGTGGAAGTTAACGCTGGTCATCATAGCGGCCAGCCCGTTGATCGGTATCGGGGCCGGTCTCATGGCTCTGGTACGATGCGCTCCTCTTATTTTTACTCTTGTTAAGAGCTACAGCCTTTCTTCTGTTGACTTGGCAGCTCGTGTTCATTTTACTTTCAGTTCGTGGCTAAACTCACCGGGATGGAGCTTCAAGCCTACGCCAAAGCCGGAGCGGTGGCCGATGAGGTCCTCTCCTCCATCAGGACTGTCTCTGCCTTTGGGGGAGAGAAAAAGGAAGTGGACAGGTTTGCAACTATCCAATACAACCGCTTTAAAATAAATGTTTTGAAAAGACGTGACTGTAACTGATATTAGCTTTTGTAATTTTCTAAAGATATGACAAAAACTTGGTCTCGGCACAGAGATGGGGTATCAGGAAGGGTCTGATAATGGGCTTTTTCACCGGATATATGTGGCTCATCATCTTCCTTTGCTACGCTCTGGCCTTTTGGTATGGCTCCACTTTAGTGGTAGACGCTGAAGAGTACACACCAGGAACACTATTGCAGGTACTGCACCTCCTGTTCCATTTTGTGGGTTTTAAGTAACTTTTCCTCTTGGGTTGGTTTGCTTTTACTGGCAACCTTAAGATTCCAGCAGATTCCTTTTAATTTCAGGTATTTTTTGGAGTTCTGGTGGCAGCCATGAATTTGGGACAGGCCTCTCCTTGTCTGGAGGCGTTTGCAGCGGGCCGTGGAGCTGCTACCATTATATTTGAGACTATTGACAGAGTAAGAATGACTTCCCCCTTTAAAGTATTCTCTGTAGAACAGTTCGGTACAACCTGTGACTGATTGTACGTTGAAATGTGTCACCCGCCAGGAGCCAGAGATCGACTGTTTGTCTGAGGCCGGATACAAGCTTGACCGGGTCAAAGGAGATATCGAGTTCCACAATGTCACCTTCTATTACCCGTCCAGACCAGAAGTTAAAGTACATAAGTGCAGCTAAAAAAAAACTATGAATTTTGTTGAAATATCCATACAAGTTCCCAGATTAATCAAGCAAATGTGCTTATTCACTTGTCACTTTGGAATTGAACAAGACGCTTTTTCCTTAGACACTTTCTTGTCTTCACAAAAGGACATTGGTCACAATATTCCAATACAATGCCTCACTGTCAATTTTCCTGGGCAATATTTAGCTAACCTATCCCAAACCATGATACTACCACCTTTTCAGTGTCAAGCTGTGTTAAGTGACCACTAGTTGGAAAAGTAACAATGATATCAAATGCGCTTTTTTGCACAAAAATAAGTTTTTCCAGCTCATGAGCTTTCAAAAACTAATTTTAAGATATGATCAAAACACAACTTCAGTGTAATCTAATTGGCAAGGCCTCTCGTCAGATATTTGCTATAAACTTCCCCTCTTTGTGATTAGATCCTGGACAAGCTCAGTGTGGCAGTGAAGTCGGGGGAGACCACAGCCTTTGTCGGGCCAAGTGGAGCTGGGAAAAGCACTGCGGTTCAACTCATCCAGCGCTTTTATGACCCTAAGGAGGGCATGGTAGGTGTGAGGCTTCTAAAGGTCAGCCTCATAGAACACGCTGTAGTTTTTCTTTTTTTTCTACCAGTAGTCTTTTCACAAGTCCGTTGCGCCACACATTGCTGCAACAAGTCGAAAATAACCACTCCCTCAGGGGGGGAGGGCTACATGAAAATCTTTTTCATTATTCAGCCAACTGTTCTTAATAGGCTCATTTTTCACTCGTACAGGAATTACTGAGCTTTCTACATGCCTTTCTTCCTAATTTCTTTCTGCTTCTTCAGGAGGACATTATTGGCCTTATTGTGCTTTTGAAGGTTATCCACAAGATTACACACCCTTTCATTTGAAACTGGCATTGTTGCAGGGGAAGAACAAAAAACAAAAAAGAAAAGAGGCACATTACGTTAATAGCATCATCCATCATTTTTTCTAAAAGCACCTGCTCTCTGTACCCTCCATCTCAGGTGACCCTGGACGGTCATGACATCAGAGGGCTGAACATCCAATGGCTGCGCTCCCTGATCGGCATTGTGGAGCAGGAGCCCGTGCTGTTTGCCACCACCATCGCTGAGAACATCCGCTACGGGCGACCCGGTGTCTCCACGGAGGACATCGTCACCGCGGCAAAGGAGGCCAACGCCTACAACTTCATCATGGACCTGCCGCAGGTGGAGAGGGCCAGAGGGGGCGACCCAGTCCAGACCCAGGCTTTTTAAGGGTATCGACCGTGAGCCTAAACAGAACAAACATTCTCTGCCGTTTCTAATCTGACAGAAATTTGACACGCTGGTGGGGGAGGGCGGCGGACAGATGAGCGGCGGCCAGAAGCAGCGGATTGCCATCGCGCGGGCGCTGGTCAGGAACCCTCGCATCCTGCTGCTGGACATGGCAACGTCAGCCCTCGACAACGAGAGCGAGGCCATTGTCCAAGAAGCTTTGGATAAAGTAGGTGATGCCCATTCATATTAAAGAACACCCACTCCACAGCCATTAAAGTATCGCTTTAAAGGATAAGAAATATCTATTCTTTGCTGCACGAAACCTGATTCATAGATCGATTAGTTTTGAAACCTTTGTGTGAGTGGATTACTTGGATTGCGAATGATATCGACAAAGGAAAATCACAGGCCTCAAAACTGGTGCCATCCTAGCAGAGACAGTGCCCCAATAAGGGTTTTTTTGACTTCCTGACAGGTACGCATGGGCCGCACCACCATCTCCATCGCTCACCGCCTGTCCACCATAAAGAACGCCGACGTGATAGTCGGCTTTGAGCACGGCCGGGCCGTGGAGAGGGGCAAGCACAACGAGCTGCTGGAGAGGAAGGGCGTGTATTTCACTCTCGTCACCCTGCAGAGCCAGGGAGACAAGGCTCTGAATGAGAAGGCCCGGCAGAGTAGGTCACCGGCACTTTCTGAGCCCGGCAGCATTGGGTCGGTTACAAACTGTGACCATCCCTTCCCGCTTGTTTTAGTGGCTGACAGCGAACAAGAGGAGCCAGAGAGGCTGAATCTATCCCGAGCAGGCAGCTACCGTGCCAGTTTGAGGTATTACACAAACACATTCCCAATCGCATCCTACCCTTTATCACATAGCGCATCCAACTGTGCTCAACGTGGTGGGGCCGAAACTACCTTGTATTAGACGCTGCGGGTATAATTGACTTAATTGCATTCTTACATTCACCACGACATTTGAAGCAATTAGCTGGCACTATCATTCCGATTCCACTTGCACATGTTGCCGCAGCAGAGAAGGCTGGAGGTCCTCCGTCACCGTCATTACGCTGGCATCTGTGCGGTCGAGTGGCAGCAATATACAGCATGACAAGTCACTGGGGGGGGGGGCTATGGGTGCAGCGGATCAGATACCTCTTGTTTTGTGCAGAGCCTCCATCCGTCAGAGGTCCCGATCCCAGCTTTCCAACCTGATCCCAGAATCCCCCGTTCCTTCGGCTGGCGATCTGGGCCCCCGGGCCTACTCCATGTCACAAGAAGATAAATACAAGGTGTGAATTTTCATACATTTTTTAGACCAAATCTTCTTTTTTTTCTTTTTGTTCTACCATGCTATGTTTCTACTGATGTATTATTTTTATGTGGTTATGCACAGAGTGCCACACCAGAGGAGGAAGAAGAAGACATTGTGGAACCGGCTCCAGTTGCAAGGATTCTCAAGTACAATGTACCAGAGTGGCCATACATGCTTTTTGGATCTTTCGGGGCTGCGATCAACGGGGGGGTCAACCCTGTTTACTCACTACTGTTCAGTCAAATCTTAGCGGTAAGGTTCAAATATAGAAAAATAAACATTTTAAGATGGTTTGCACAGAATAAGAATATGCATCTATTCTTTGAAAGCACATCTGTCTATCTCTCTCTCTATGTGGCATCTACAGTATCTCTCCAGATGTCACTATATATCTCTATGTGAAATATCTCTGTCTATTGCTCTATACATTATATATATCTCTCTCTATATCACTCTATGTATCTCAACTCGTGTGTACATGCTATCTGTGTTTGTGTGTAGACTTTCTCAGTGGAGGATCCTGCAGTTCAAAGGAGGGAGATTGATGGAATTTGCCTCTTCTTCGTCTTGGTCGGCGTCATCTCCTTCTTCACCCAGATGCTGCAGGTGAAAGTAGCTCTGCTTTGACCGGACAGATTCATTGCTTTCATGTCTCTTCCCTTCTTTCGGACTCCTGTTTGTGAACCGAGTTGAAAGGAAGCCACACGAGGCCTATCTAATTTGGATTTAACACGTTCGCCAAATGCACGTCCGACCACCTACAGAGGAACAGCTGTACATATTTAGCCATGAGTTATGACCTCCCGCTAATGAGAAAGACAAGATTTTCTCGAATTAAGCGTATGTTATGTTGAATTCTATTAGCCGACGGATCACTCGGAGGGTATTTGGATTTTAATTAGAACGCTTCCTGTCTGCGTGTGTCTCCAGGGTTATGCCTTCTCTAAGTCTGGAGAGCTGCTGACCCGCAGGTTACGGAGGATCGGTTTTCACGCCATGCTAGGCCAAGAGATCGGCTGGTTTGATGATCACAGGAACAGCCCCGGAGCTCTGACCACGCGTCTGGCAACTGATGCCTCGCAAGTCCAGGGGGTAAATTAGAGCCTTTGAGAAGGAGGGGGTGTGTGGGTCGGTGGGTGGGGGATCATTAATTCATATTACCAGTTGTAAATGTAGACTTTTGATCTATTAATTAACTTCTCTTTGACTGAAGACATTACATTTTTATAACCTGTGTCTGCTAATTCTGAAAAGTTCACGTTTGAATTGAAACAGTTTTATGCAAATGTGATTTTGCCATTTTAATTAAACCAATCAGAAAAATGCTTTGCTATTGCTAATTGGTGAGCTAAAAAATCCCAAAAGGTCCACACCCATGTTGTACAGTGTCAGTTTTTAGTTTCCTTAATTATTCTGGGCAATTCATATATTTCTATGGGCTGAGATAAAGGGTTATGAACATTACATGTTAAACCCTGTTTAAATTGAGATTAACAGATTAGTACTGAACCCACCTACCTTTTCACCCAAGTAATAAAGTTCCACTTACTTCCTTCTGAAAGGCTACGGGGTCGCAGATCGGCATGATCGTCAACTCTCTGACCAACATCGGCGTGGCTGTCATCATGTCCTTCTACTTCAGCTGGAAGCTCACCATGCTCATCCTCTGCTTCCTGCCTTTCATCGCCCTGTCGGGGGGCTTCCAGGCCAAGATGCTCACAGGCTTTGCCAAGCAGGACAAGCAGGCCATGGAAGCTGCTGGACAGGTCAGATAACACATCCAAATGCATTTTCTTATCAAAATCCCACCGTCCAGATAGTAGCCGATGAGCCAAAAGCATCCTCTCAATTGACAATGGTGTCTATTTTTGGCTGCGTGTTTGAGTTTTTTTTCTCCCCATTAGACAAACAGTGTGAATAGAATTTCTCCATCTACCCCTGTGATTTTCTTCAATTTACGCTCAGAGTTAAAGCGGTGAGGCTTCATCTCTTCTTGAGCCACCCAAGCTTAAAACGCACTCAGAGTCCTCAAAGCCACAGCTGATGAAAAGATGGGGACAATACAGTGAAAGACAGAAAGCGCGCAATCAAAGCAAAAGTGTTTAAAAGTCAATTTCCTGTGAACTTACTTTATGCCGCTTTAATTACACTGTGCAGTAAACCCCACCCATCCAAGTGGATTAGATGAAAATTTAATGATCCCTGTGGGGGCAATTGGCTCACTGCAGCATCATGCAGCCCGATTCTCCCCTCGCACATAAAAAAAAAACACATATGAGTTAGGAGCTGCTTCTCTGCAGGAGCATCATCATTTAATTTAGATCCTGAAGCTTTTTACTCTCATTTTTTTTCCCGTCAGGTTTCTGGAGAGGCCTTGAATAACATCCGCACCGTAGCTGGTCTGGGCAAGGAGAAGAGCTTTGTGGAAATGTTTGAGAGACACCTCGATGCTCCGTACAAGGCGGCCCTAAAGAAGGCCAACGTGTACGGGGCCTGCTACGGCTTTGCCCAGTGTGTGGTGTTCCTGACTAACTCGGCCTCCTACAGATTTGGAGGATACTTAGTGAAACAAGAGGGGCTCCATTTCAGCCTGGTGTTCAGGTGAGAAGAGAGAGTGGTAGAAGTAGCAAACTACTGTCTTTGAGCTGTCGGTGTTCGGCTAGAGAGCCTCACGCCTGAAATACAACAACGTGTCACACATGGTCTAGTCTGCCGGATGGAAAGTTAAGAGAAAATCCCCCTTTTTTCCGGCAGAGTCATCTCAGCCATCGTCACCAGCGGCACAGCCCTCGGCAGGGCCTCCTCTTACACCCCCGACTACGCCAAGGCCAAAATATCAGCCGCACGTTTCTTCCAGCTGCTGGACCGCGTGCCAACAATCAGCGTCTACAGCGATAAGGGAGACAAATGGGTATGGAGGCATGTTTGGCCTTGTTTGAAAAACAGCTCTAATCTAGATAAGCCTAATATGTAACTCATGTCTACGCTCTCTGGTACGGGCACTCGGTAAAGAATTGTTCAACCTTTGGACTCTCTTCCTGTCCCCCCCTTCCCTCTGCCGTGTTTTCAGAATAACTTCCAAGGGAACATTGAGTTCATTGACTGTAAGTTCACGTACCCAACCAGGCCAGACATCCAGGTGCTGAACGGACTGAACGTGTCAGTTAAACCTGGCCAGACTCTGGCCTTCGTGGGCAGCAGCGGCTGTGGGAAGAGCACCAGCGTGCAGCTCCTGGAGAGGTTCTATGATCCTGACAATGGCAAAGTGGTGAGGAAAGAAAGGGGGGAAAAAAAATCAAGTGAATTATGAATGCTTCCATGCATCGTAAATGATGCCTACTGTTTCCACAGAGGAACAGGAGGGGCAGTAAGTGAAAAGGTCTCTTCTAAAGTCATTTCAGCTCATCGTTTCTAAGTTTTAAAAATTTATCAGCGGGAGAAGTTTAGCCAGGAGGATTTTTTTCTAAGATCTATTTTTTTGGGGCGGGGGTGGGGGTTAGGTTGTTTTCTATTCTTAAAACTCTCTGTGGTGTTTGTTTATGTAGTACTCATTATGGCCACAAGAGGGTGAAGTGAGCCACCTAAACCATCAGCTTTGCGAACTTTAAAGTAAGAAAGTATCTAAAGTAAGAAATCATCCCTGCAAAAATGTGCAAGGATAATTTGAAGTTTATAGTAAACCTTTGCGGAAATTGAACTCTCGCTGATATCATCAGGCAGATATTCATTGCAATGTTGCATTTAACTGTTTAAAACAACAATTATAGTTATTTCAAAGACTTGTGTTTTGTGCCTTAAAAGCCCCAAGTAACAGGTGATATATCAGGCATTAAACAGGGCATAGCCATTTCTACTGTTATAGATTAAGGTAAAAGTTTGAGATTATTGAGCAATAGGGACTATTTTGTTTACAGGAATCTTGGATCTGTTCATTTTTCTTGCTTTTGACATGGAAATGAAAAACAGAGTTCTGGCATTAAACCAGACGAAATGATATCGTTGCAGCTGATGCTGACCTTTGTTAAAATGTCAGCTATTTAATTCTCAGATGAATAAGTCATTATATGTATGGCCTGCTTTCAGCCTCCGCTCTCATAAAGCTTTAGCATCACTGTGGTCGTGAAACCTGTAATTTGTCACAGTTGAAGAATAACTGCTGGACATTTCGATTATGCGGTGATGGCAGTATATATCACCATGCCTCAATTAATTTGTCAGCCAGACAGTTATGCTGACGTCGTCCTGTATGTCCGAAGCGGGCGCTCCACCTTGAAGGGAGATGTGCCTTTGTGCCAGTACTGAATCCCTGCCAGGATTCATGTGGCTTTAATTGAGTTGGAAATGGTTTGGAAACACATTGCCCCCATTCTCTGTCAGAGAGTTTGAGATTACAGAAGCACGTCTTCTTTTTTCAGCAAGGAAATTAGAGACAAGACAGCCTTATGATAGCTTAATTGGATCGCATTTGCATTGTCTTTCTTGACTATGTTGCTTTACACTAATGGTAGAATCTATGTCTTCCTGCAGCTGATTGATGGGCACGACTCAACGCGTGTCAACGTGCCCTTCCTTCGCTCCAAAATTGGCATCGTCTCCCAGGAGCCCATTTTGTTTGACTGCAGCATTGCAGAGAACATCAAATACGGCGACAACTCGCGGGAAATCAGCATGAACGAGGTCATCTCGGCTGCCAAGAAGGCCCAGCTTCACGACTTTGTCATGGCGCTCCCTGAGGTACGGCACACATTCGCCGTTTGATGTTTGTGTGAGACCCCACAGCAGATGTGGAGCAGACAGCTTAATATGTGTTCGGAAAACAGGCCGGTTGTAGCTGGTCAGTTGGCAAACAAAAAGGACAAAGGGAAGAAGGCAAACACAGCTTATGAACAGAAGCGAGTCACTGTGGATTTGGCATGAACTGCCAGTAAAAAAAAAAGGCTGGAATTTACACACAAGGGCAGGTTCATGTGAAGGCAACTTTCCCAAACTAGTTTCTTTAGACCCACAAAGCCTGCATGAACACCTTTAAATGAGTCTCTGTCTACTTAGTTCAGCCATGTCATGTTTAAGCTGATTAGTTAAAGCAACTGAAAGCACCTGTTATATAAAATATCCAATATTTCATGTGAATGTACACTTGTACACGGGGCTGTTTTTTTTGTCATTCACTGTAAATCCAAACGTTCCCCAGAGTACCTCTCTCTCTCTTTAACTTATCAACAATTCCATGACTTTGTGCTCAGAGATTACCTATTCTTGCTTGGAATGACAAAACCTCTGTTGGATCTGCCTTTTATACCCAATCCTGACACCTTCACCAAATGAACCCAACAATTAAACAATTCTCCAGAAAGTTGCTGATTGCATGTTCTATAAAGGCAGTTATAGACAGTTATTTCTCAAATATGTGGTTACACTTGACTACTCTTATCAATATTGGCTACTCTTGGATAAATAGAAATAAATTAATGCCATGACGGAAAGATAAAGTCTGAGTATGAATAGCAGAAAAGTCCTCTGACTTAATATTATTCTTCTCAATTTTTCAAACTTGCAGCTTGGACCATGGCCGATCTGGTAGAGAGAGTAATTCTCTGTCGACATGTACTGATGATGTTTTTTTTTTCCCCATACTCGCCATTGATTGATTTCTTCTTCAAACCATAATTCTTCGTCTGGACACTTTTCTTCCATTTTTATCTGGAGAATCTTTCGCTCTTTTTTTTCTCCGTAAGACACTTCCCACCTTTTTTCTACCACAGTTTGTTACTTTGCTATTCTTCCAGTTATTGTTGCCCACTCCATCTCTGTCACCAAGCTGCCGCCTTTCTTCTGCTCCACTAACCCCCCCCCTGGCTGGACTGAAACACGTCGTCACCACACATGCCATCGCAGACTCGTTCAAAATGCCTGTGCAGCACTGTGCCCTGCCATTCTAAGTTAAACAACAAAAATGTTTTGCGTTCACTTCAAAAATCCGACCAATATTTACATCCAGATAACCTCCCTGCTCTGTCTTTTCCCGTAGAAATACGACACCAACGTGGGCTCTCAGGGCTCCCAGCTGTCTCGTGGTCAGAAGCAGCGCATCGCCATCGCCAGGGCCATCATACGAGACCCGAAGATCCTGCTGCTCGATGAGGCCACCTCCGCCTTGGACACAGAGAGCGAGAAAGTACGTTTCAGTGCGTCATCCTTTGCACGTGGCAGATCAGCTGCTCGATGTTCTCCGAGCACCGGGAGCAAGAAGAGCAGGCAGTTAATTATTATTATCATTACTATCATTATCATTCATCATCTCTATTATTATCAAGAGCTGCTCACAGTTCACGCCAGTCCTCCGTGAGAACATTTTTAAGAGGAATAAGGCCTGTGCAGCAGCAGCTTTCCTCAAATGGCACCGCCGCGCAGAGGAGTGAGAGGCCTCTGCGGCACGCTGATCCACTGGAACATTCTAATGATAGTAATCAACGCTTGATTGTCAAATTGCTGTAATTGTGATGCTTTTGTGTCTGCTTTGTGGCAGAAATGATGATGGCTGCCGCCAGGGCTGTGCGAGTCTGAGCTCTATTTCACATATGTGTTGTTTTTTTTTTTTTTAAACCGTGGCAGACGGTACAGGAAGCCCTGGACAAAGCCAGAGAGGGTCGGACGTGCATCGTCATCGCCCACCGCCTCTCCACCATTCAGAACTCTGACATCATCGCCGTCATGTCCAGGGGCTTCGTGATCGAGAAGGGATCGCATGAACAGCTCATGGGCCTGAAGGGAGCCTACTACAAACTGGTGACAACGGGAGCACCCATCAGCTAGCCGCTCACAAACACAGGCTGCTACTGAAAATGCTCTTTCTGTAGCCAAAGTAAAGCATTCACTCTCCATGATGGGATCCTCACAAGAAGAGAGGGTTTGCATGACTGGCATGCCCCATTTTTGAAGAAGACAACTATCAATTTACCACATTCTGCTGCAACACAAGTTTTTATGAATGATGTGTTTATAAAGCACTGGTTTCCAATAACTGGTAACGGAGAGAAATAATTAAAGTACCTTACTCTCCCATTTGACTACCAAAACATTTAACCCAACTAACCTATATTCTGTAACAGTCCCAATTTACAATGAGAACGTGATCATCTATCAGGTGTGAAAGTGGATGCCTGATGTATATCTTGGAGAAATGTATCACTATTTTAAAAGGAAAGTTTAACATTTCATAAAGTGCAGCTTTTCACTGGTGTGTTACAGCCCACGATGCCAGTGGAACGTGTTTTTACTAAGTAAATATAGGCTAATTTCATATATATCTTATTGTTCATTAATGAAAAGTCAAAATACAAATAAAATAATGCCTATATAATTCTTTTGTACAGTCAGAATTCACATTTATTATATGTATATGCATTTCCTCTAAGCAATTTTTAAGGAAAACTGGAAAGAGTTTTTCTGAGAGGCAATTAAAGACTTGAATCAATAATTTGTTGATTTGGTTTAAGCTTGTTTAATAAAGAAGCCTGCCAAAGAAAATAATTCCACTGTGTTCACTAACAAACTTGTGTTGTATGAATATTTGTTTTCAGAAACAAAAATCTATTTAATTTCATACAATTTTACCATAACTTTTAAGATTTTATAATTGATAGATTCACTGGTAAATCTATCGAACAACAGTGTGTGTTTGATTGTTAAAATTGCAATCAGATTTCATACTTGTTCAACCAAGAAGGATAAGCAGCTCTTATCAAGACATAATTCATACTAGAAACAGACTGAAGCTAAGAGATACGAAACTGTTAAAAAAGTACAGACTCCCACATAACTGAATCTCTTAGAAAACTTAAAAAAAACAAACAAAAGAACACCAGTGTGTGGTCAGTTACAAAAGTCTCAATAACAGCAAGGATAAAGTCAAAGACCTACTGGGATGTATGTCTTTACTGAGGAGATTCTTCATGAGATAAATAAAAGAACAAGAGCCCAGAAACAGAGTCTGACTTCTTTAACCTGTTTTCTTATTGACGTTGACTTGAGAGATTATTTAATCTATCAAAGTCATTACGGTTTGTGTTGTCTGCAATGTGTCAAACCTGCCACGTTGCACCTAATATTTCTGTAACATGTTTTGATATCCACTGCATACAATGGCTGAAAAATAGGCTTAGCAAATATCACATGAGAGGTAAAACTTTTTCATCATTCTAGAGATTGTCTGACTGAAAATGAACGTGACACCGCCGCTGACAGTGATGGATGACATCCTTGAAAGAGGTTTCTGTCTCAGAGCTTCACTAAAGCAAATGAGAGCCCACATGTTGACACCGCAAGAAATCCTAGAGCCCCCTCGTCCTCCAACATATATTTGGACCGAAACATGCTAAATAATGCGCATCCCGTGTCATAGAAGCTGTTTCCCTCCATCCGAGGCCCATTTCAGTGTCAGTGTCTGATAAAGAAACAAAGGGGTTTCAGTTTTGCTTAAAGCAGAAGACAGAATATCTGCATTAATACCTGCAGAGCTCTCCACAGAGACACTTGTTTGGATGATGCACGGCGGGGCTCTCTGCTGTGTGGAGATAATACCGGGTGGCTGCATTTCAGGGCTCAGCTTGTTAATAGAGGACCGCTGTAGGCCTCCCCCCTTTTTTCCTCAACACAAACAACAGCGTGAATTAGCGGCGCGGTGGAATAAGGCAGGTACTTCAGAGCTCGGCGGCTGAATGAAATTCTCATCTATGACAGGAATATTTAATCCCCTCAAGCAGCCCGGTCTCTCCGTCCCCCCCCCCCCTCGTGCTCGAGCCCCTTTCTGGTGACAGCCACTCTGTCAAGAGTGCAGATGTCAGAGACACTCCATCAGCTCGTGGTAATGTGTGATCACAGCACAATGACCTCTGGGAAATTGAGTCCGTAATCACAAGATCTTCGCACCAGGACTTCTTGTAAATTAGTATTCCTCAGATGGAATCTAATCTAGCGGCGTCTACCGCCGACTCCTTCGGTGAGGGGACGCTGTTTGACTTTGTGCCATGTAATGTCAGCGCATTCTGATTGATGAAAGCAGGTGCCTCAGGTTGGGGTGGGAGGGAGGAGAGCTCCATCCTTTGAGCGTTTGGTACGATTCCTGTATTCCTATTAGATTTTGTCTTTCTTTAAAGAGGTTCATTTTGGACTAAATGTTGAAAGTTTTTACAGAATGATCAAAATGAATGAAAACTGGGTCAACGGATCCCGCTAAGCTTGGTGCACACAAGTCTGTACGGACCAATCGCAGCCTCTCAAACCCTGATTTCCCACATGGATAATTTGTTTTATAGTCTTCCTGCCCCAGCTTCACCTTCCACTGGTCAGCAGATCTCTTAAGGATGTCAAGTGCTGACAGCCAAGAAGACGTTACTGCTTACTAATGGCCGGCAAATTGGTTGGCTCGCAGACGCAGTAAATAAGATGGATGAGCCCCATGTTTTTGGTCCGGTCAGTGGCTGGCCTTAGGGCAGCGTTGACTTCGGGCAGAAATTAGATTTAGCGGCAAATCAGAGGAGGGAAGAAAGATGTCCCGCGTTTGATGTGAGGCAGCAGCTGGAGGTTATGAGGAATCTTCAAACGGATGAAATGGTGTTCATGTTCTCAGTACATCAGCTGAAGTGTCCTCTTTATCTGAGAACATTAAATCCCCTCTAAAATATACAAGCTTGACCTTTTAGAGACACCCAATGGCCAGGGTGACATTTCCATTTTTTCTTTTTTCTCTTCCTCTGATAACCCGTAATCACTCCTGCATTATGTTACATACTTGTGTCTGGATGTCTCGTGTTGACAAACCCGCTGAACCATCTCCATCCTCTTCTCTCCATCGGGCCGGAACACAAACAGACCTATAAAACAGAAACCATTGTTGAATGAATCCGTGCCTGGAGATGCATTGTTGACCTACAGAAAAATTAACGGGAGATCCAATAAAACTCGAGTCTAATTCAATCTTCCAGACGACACTCATTAACATGAAAGCTTTTCATTATCACAGGGATTATAATAGCGGCAATAAGAGACTAAGTGTGGCCACGGGGACAGCAAGAAGCCCAGAATACAGTTTGAGTATTAATCAAAATGTGTACAGCGGCACATTTAGGGTATCGTGACTATGACAAGTTCGATATATCAGGGCTAGAGCCAAGGATTACCAACATATTATTCCATATCTGGAATTGGGAGTACAGTTAGTGTTAAAAATAGTTTTACAAAAAACAGAGAAAATGATTATATAGAAAAACTCTGCCCAAAAACAGTTAAAGATTAACTGACTTCCTCAAAACGAACCACAGCGTGTTGATTTAAATTGTTTGTTAAACACCAAAAATCGAAATCCATTGTGAAACATGGAGACAAGGATGACTTCTTTATAAAACTCTGACCCAAGAAGGCTTGATTTGTAACACTAACGGAAAATAAAGAGTAAATTCTTGCTTTCGAAAATCATAGAAGATCATTGGATGCTCAAACAAGGCCTCAAAGGAGTGAATATTTACAACCCAAAGCAACTCATCACCTCAACTCATTCATATTTGTACTTTTATCTATCTTTATGTTTGTTTATTCTATTAAGCGGCAACACTTTGGGACATACGAATACCCCTAATGAGGCTGAAATTAATTTCCTCTTTATCTTAACTGTTCCATTCTAAGAACAAAGCTGATAAAATCCTAATTATAAAGGAGCGTCTTAAATGATTATCAGCGAGCAACTTTTGCGTAGCCTGGAGTCTATTCTCCACATTGGAGTGCTTTTTTTAGGCATCTGCGGGTTGCAAGTAAGCTTTCATTAAGCATATTATGTATCATCAGTCATGCTAAACAACAAGGATGAAGTCTTTTTCTTTAACATGCCTATCCTGGTCATTTTAGAGAACAGGACCTAGCCTCTGTCCCCAGCACACATAGCATTTGGACGCTCAGCTTGTCTGATCGGGGGTACATCAAAATGTCAGGCGTAAGTAATGGGAGCATCAGGCGAGCAGACTGGGAAGCACGTACACCGGTCTGGATGCACATCAGATTTCTCGCTGAACCACATCCTCTCACGCTGCGCTTCTCTGGCCTTGGACGGTGATTAGATGAAGGTTACCTTCGTGCATCATCTGTATGCATGAAGACCTGCCTTTAATCTCCTCATTGATTAGAAAAGCGAGTCACAAAGTGGCCGCCTTGAAACCGACAGAAAGCAGCCCGTAGACTGTCCTAGATCCTTGTACTTCAGACCCCAGCGCCGTCCAGATTAAACTCCATCGCGGTACAGAATTGCTGATTCAGCTGCAGCTCCACAGCAAACACCTTCTTGTAATGTCATGTGATTCAGTGTATTTCAGACAACCCCCCCCCCACCCCCAATGGTCACTCCCCCTTGAAACACTCTAAGATAACATTCATGTGCTGTATGCTGTCAGGGAGAACATTCGGCATGAGGTACTGCCCACGGACAAGTGCATTAGGGAGATTAGCGAAAAAGCTTCTCAGTACAGGAGGAAGTGATTGACCTTGTAGGAACTAGGGCCTCCGCCTTGTTCCTCTCACTTCCTCCTCACACATCAAACACCCTGCCAGGTTAGCTACGACACGCCGACCCTCGGTGTGTAGCGTGAATTAAAAAAAAGAAAACAAAAAGTAATGCCGTCAGTAGAAATAGGAGTGTGTTTTTTACCTGCATCCCATTGGCTGATCTGTCAATGAAGATACTGTGCTGATCCTCTCCGTACCTACGTGTCTGAAATCAGAGCCAATGGTCACGGGTTAACATCCGGAAGCCTTTCAGGAAAAACAAAAACCACGTAAGTCACAACTGAAAGAAAGAACAATGTAGAAGACTGCAATGTGGAGACACAACATATTGACTCTTTTAGGTAGTTGCACGGAAGACAATTTTCAGTAAAAATCTCATAGTAGGAGAATTGCAAAAGTTTACAATAAAATTTAGCCAAACTGACTGAGTTAAAAAAAAAAATGTAGCCAATTAGCAGTTAACTGATAGTTGGCTTGTACTTAATGATTATCTGGCAACACAGGTCCGTCAGGGAGCAAATCACTAGTTAATGGCCAGATAACCAAGAACAAGCTCAATAATGTTCGGATAATTGCTAGGTAATTCTTTAGAATACTTAAAGGAAGGCTATATCGTAGAAGGAGAGGAGTTACCGAAGACCAGACTGATGAATCCCAAACATAATTATTTTAGAGTCATTAGCATCTTTAATCAACATATTTAGCGCATTCATTTTTTCCCCCTATTTATCGTCACAGTATAAAACTCAAGTTCCAAAAAGTAGTTGGATCCAGTGAGACCTTCCGATTGTCAAACTCATCCTGCCTTTATCATGTTGTGAAGATGATGAATTATTTAGAATCTTTGCAGTCGTCTGCACATCGACCTATACAGCCTCTGAGGGACTCTTCTTCACTGAGGTGCTCTCTTTATTCCCCGTTACGCTACTGACCTGCTGTACATTAACCTGATTCACTACCAGCTGAATCGCC